TTTTTAGTTCAACATTTCCAAATATTTACATTAGATCTGAGCACGGCAAGGATTCAAAACAATTACAATGCAATAGAATCAGATTTCTAAGAAAATCATATGAACATCATATCCACAGGACATCACATTATCTTGTACAATGGTCACCATAAAAATTATTCACAACAAATAACTTGTGATTGATGAACAACACAGCCCCCATCTCAAATAGAAAAAATGGATAGCTCTTACCAACCATTGCAGACAACACCAAGTAAAGAAGAGGATTAGTATTCTTAAGCCACTCGTAGTATTGACCACCATAAGGATCACCTTGCACATGAGTACGAGAAATTGTGCTCAAGGAGCAAAATTTTTGACTAAAATAGAGAACAGATCTAACAAACATCATACATAAGGGATTCATCTGTGATGTTCAATCAATTGGATGTAAATGGTGCAGTTGTAGAAGGCATGAGAAAAGGATGATGTGAGATGAGAGAGCCACGCCTTTTGAAACTGACGCATATGCTAAGGCAAGCACATAAACACACACACCAAACAGAACAAAACCAAGCCCTAATACCTATTGTTGCCATAGTTACCCTAAATTATAGGTACAAAGTCATCCAGATTATCAGCGAGCAACAGAGAGTTGCATCACTAAATCTTCTGCCTACATAAGATTTAAGATGAACCAAATCAACATAACTCTAACTTCAACGAGCATTTACTACATGATAATTCGGCATCTAAAAGAAAACTTTCTTTTATATTGTACATTGTACAGATTATAAATAGGCAGAGGAAATACATAATAGAAAATCTTCAATATCACGATTTGCACTGATCTTCCAGTCCATTTTGAAAGGTAAAATACAGAAACACATATGCCATCTATAGAAGACTAACATAGACAATTGCACATATAAATCATTCCATACACACCCTGTCCAATCAAAATGTGGAAGTTTAGAGGTTCGAGCTTGGCCTTTCTTTAAGCAATACAACCAACCCCTTTTAAGGGCTGCAGAAGTTTGATCATCTGATGCATCAGCTTTAAGTGGTTGGGACTCTATACGCAAGTGGACTGACTTGTGCGAGCTCCATGTTGCCTTGAAACATTCCTGAGAACTGGCATGCAGGAACATTCAAATATGCAGAAATAAGTACATGACTAGCTCAGCCTGGCTTCCCAGAGAAATTAACTAAGACCAAATTAAGTAAATGACGAAAAGGAAAGGGTGACTACAGATATTGAAACAATTAACCAGCAATATACTACAGTTTCCAAGTTCCAGTTCCAGAGAAAATTTGGAATGAGATAATATTCATTGAGAGGGGGACAATTGATAGTAAAAGGAGATTCATCTAATGTTCTTGCATGGGCCAACAGAAGATCTCCAATCCTTGGCAATTGGCAAATATTTTTCACTAGATTCATGAGAACAGCACAATTTTCAAACTAGATATTTTACATGCGTGGAGGGAGTCTAATAAACTTGCAGACTTACTGACACGGGAGCGGATCCTTGTTCCTCACTACTGGTCTCCCCATTTCCATTGGAAGAAGTAGCGATTCAAACCCAGTTTTCTAGATTTCATTGATTTGAATATTTTCACTCAAATTTGTCATAATCACAGAATGAAACTTGCTTAACGACTAAAAAACCAGCGTGAAATCAGTGGAAGAAAGTTTGCAGGTGCCAACTAAGATCTAGAAAGCCGAATATCAACACCTATATATTTTGAGACAAAATAACAAGGCCCCAATCTAGGAAAAAGCAAGGAGCACTGAACAACATGATATCCAAAGAATGATTAGCGTAAGTTCCAATAAGGTATGAGTGTATCTGGCAATGTTGATTGAAAGATAAAACCATTGAAAAAAAAGACGATGACGGAAATGCTAGTGGCTACATCTTGAAATTCAAAATGGGTGTTAAAGTGAGACAAGAATGGATAGAGAAGATAATGACTTTTATTATGATAATACAATATAGAAAGCAAGTTTTATGGGGAGGGGAAAAAACAAAGTTACAGAGAGGGAAGTAGCTCCTGATGCAACATTAATACGACTCCAATTTGCATGAGTCCTCTTTCATCACTCACATGCAGGTTTTCATGTGTAACATATTCTAGTTGATGACATTCATTTCAGCTAACTATTACATTTTTTCATACCACTGTATTTTCAGGAATAACAAAATGAAGCTTCAGAAACTCATACAAACCAGAATGCAGCATCTCCCCGAGGTAGCTTCAATTCCACACATTTAGGACATCTGCATGCAGATAGACAAGATGAATAAATATACTCATGGTTTTTATAGAAAAGAATATTATGCATGAACAAATAAGATCAATCAGATCTACATGTTAGGAAATGTTCATTATGGTTAAAGATTTTGAACATAATGACTTAAGTACATAAAATATATCGCTTATATAAGTACGTACTGAAGATGAGCTAGTTTGCCACAACGAGCACAAGACAAACTTGATTCTTTTGTGATGTTTGAACCTTCATCCATTTGATCGAATCAACAGAAAAGCTGACAAACTAAGGAAGAAAAAAAATTAAGCTCAAGTAACATGCATATAAACATGTTTTGGTTGGAGAAAAACCTAGAATAACACCTCCACAGCATAAGAAGGAGAAAAAAAAATTATTATGGAGCTCCACAGACACATGGCATGTAATCTGAAACAAATTCCAGTACATAGATGCGCATAAATATTATGGTCCACAAGATAATTAGCTGAAATTTGAATATATAAGTACTGCAGTGGATTTACCATGAACCAATGGACATGGAACTGCAGCCTATATGATAGACACTCCAATGATAGTCAAATATATCTTTAACAGAAAAAATGAATGTCATAGCAACAACAATTAAGCAGATAAGCTCCATATCACCATACATGAAAGACAAACATTTTCTCTTCCATATCACCATACACGAACAAGTACATTTTTTTTTTCGAAATTTCAATAAAAACTAAAAAGAACAGACAAAAGTAGGTAATAACGGAAGAACTCTAAAGCTCCTGATGCTGCCTCATACACTCAATTGTGTTTTGTCTTCATAAAATCCTATGAATCTCTTACTCAATTGACCATATACCAACAAACTATCAATTCTGGGCATTCCTGTGTGTTTCCAGCATCATGACATGAAAACATATATAAATGTGTTTGCGAAATTCAACCTTTGTCCTCAACTTCTTCACCACCCCCCTACAGTATGTGATCAATATCTGTCACTTCTTTGCTTGTTGAGAAATCACTAATCCATTAGTCATGCACCCACCTCTTGCATTTTCCTTTAATATTTCAAAAATAAATCATAAGAATAATAGGTCACACGTTCCCTTCATTTGATATTGTTGATGCACTTGATCATTAAAGAATATTTGTGAGTGCAAATGTATGTGTATTTTGTCAGTTTAAATATGGGCAACAAGAAAACGAATACTTTCACTATTCAGCAATTATATAAGTGGATTCAATCAGTTTTCAGTTCAAAATACATGAAGTAACATTTTCACCATTAAACAACCATCATCATCATCCGAGTCTTATCCCAATTATTTGGAATTGGCTACACGAATCTTGTTTCGCTATTCCATTCTATCAAGGGTCATATCCTCAGTCAGACCATAAGTCACCATATGTCTTCTCACTACTTCCATACATATTCTTTTGGGCCTTCCTCTTGCCCTTTTAGAGCCTTCCACTTGAACTGAATCACCCCTCCTAATCGCTGCTATTCTAGGTTGACGCTACACATGGCTAAACCACCTAAGTTAACTTTCTCTCATCTTATTGCTTATTGGAGCAACCTCTAAGTTCCACTGCATGTATTCATTCCGAATTCTATCATTTATTGTCTTGTCACTCATCCATCACAACATCCTCATCTCAGCCACTCTATCTATAAACATGTTGTTTCTTGAGTGGCCAAATTCCCTCTCATAGAGCATAGATAGTCTTAAAATCGTTCAGTAAAACTCCCCCTTCAGTTTCTTGACTGCCCAAAATTCCTCTCCTTCACTATTTCCCATATTATTGCAGCTATAGGAAAGCAAAGATACATGGGCTCAACAATAACTCCTGATGCAGGCCTTGCTTCACTGAAAACTAACTTGTCTCCCCACTAGTTGTCCTCATACTAGTTACCGCTCCCTCGTATGTATCTCTCACTATGTAAATATATCCCCTAGAAACTCATTTCTTTTACAACACTTACCAAATTAACTCTCTAGGTACTCTATCACATGATTTTTATAGATCAATAAAGACTATATGGAGGTCTTTTCTCTTCTTTCTAAACTTCTCAATCAATTGTCTAAGTAGGAAAATAACCTCAAGACCTCCTTGCCACAATGCGAACTGATTTTTTGATAGACTCATTTCATGTTGTAGTCTCAATCATTCTCTCCCAAAGTTTTCATAGTGTGGCTCACAAGTTTGATTCCATGATAGTTCATACAATTCTATATGTCTCATTTGTGTTCATGTAAATAAATACCACATTACTTTTTCGTTATTCATCTGATATTTTTTTTCTTCTTAGATCTTGTTGAACAACTGAGTCAAATAAGGGAAATGACATGATAGAGATTCTTGCAGGAGCAACAAACTGGAGCCTCAAGATTAGCTACTAGCTCTTTTCTTTTTTTCTTTTTTTTTTCCCTCTGAGGGAGAGAGAGAGTTTTTGCCTAGCAATACACAAATAACTAACAAACACTAAGAATTCATTCACAAAACGTCAAAGAGAAAAATCCTTGATTCAGAGAAACAGAAATGATCTTTTTATATACAGAGATGGAGATCAAAAGAGGAGATGTATGAGCTTCACTGCCATAACATAAGCAGGGACATCATGTCGAAAGTTACGAAGTTAACGAATTTAACAAGACGAATACACAGTAAAGCAAAAATATGGAGAAACTGAAAAGGAGATTCTCTGAAATTTGCTTACATGCCTAGGTCCTAGGGTTCAGCCAAAAAGACCGTACAATCGCCTGCTAAAAAAAGGTTTGGAAATTGTGTGATGCTTAGAGGGTTACCAGAGGGTGTTGGCCGCCTCTTTGACCATGTGAAAGTCAAAGAAACGGAGGATATAGGGACACACTTTCGGGGAAGTATACGACGAGACCATTTACGTTTGGTACTAATCTTGACCATTCGACTGGTCACGACTAATCTTGACCGGTGGATGTGGAATTGGGTGGTTACTTTTATTTTATTGAATAAATTTAAAATTCAACTTTTATTTTATTTTTATATTTTATCTATCACGTGGTTATAAATTATCTATCACCTTTTATAACAAATGTAAATGATCTTATTGGATACAATCCCCATATTTTAAGCTTCGGAGCCTAATATGAGTGCTCTAACAACGTGACATAGAAGAGAGAAGAAAAAATAAGTGGGAAGAGAAAACATTCACGTTTCAAATTTAAATGAATATAGATCATAGTTAGCAAGTTGGGGATATCAATAAATCGGCTAACCATGAAATTGAAAACTAATTATTGTTATTTAAAAAAGTCAGATAAAAAAATCGGATAAAAAATATGAATTGGTAAAAATACTTAATGTAAAGAGATCATGAATCTATCGGACTATACTCAAAAAATCGGAGTCAAAAAATTGGATATATTTAAAATATTCGAAATTTTAAATATATATAGCAATGATTTCATGCAACGGTTGCATCATAATATAAAGCAACAACCTTCAAAAACCATGTTTTGGCTATTTGTTTGATCCAAAATTTGAAATGTACACTCTTTTCATTTTAATGAACAATCACAAAACAAAAAAAAAAATTGAAAACACAACCTAGAAAGTATTTATTTAGCCAATTAACATAGGCCGTTCATTTTTGTGAGATACTTAGATCTAGGCCTTAGAAGGCTTTTTCATTTCCAATCTTTTGGATGACTCTATTATCATTAGATGAACAATATTAAAAAAGAAAAAAATGATTTGAGTTTATAATAGCTAAGATCTTGAAATTCACTAAATGAATGGTCTAGATTTGTTTTTGGAAGAGACTCATTTTGACCAAATTTAATTTATT